GGGGGAGGGTGCTGCCCCCCGGGCTGCACTAGGCAGCAAAGCTGAGGTTAGAGAGAGGCACTCACCCCAGCCCTGGATGCAACGACCCTGGGAGCAGCTGGCACCAGCGGCTTTCAGACACTGGGCTGCACCATGCTCTGCCTGTCCTCCTGTGCCTCAGCTCCGCTTGTCCCAACTCATTTCTGCTCCTGGGCTGCGCCGTGCCCTGGTGCAGGCAGCTGGTGTCTGCTGCTTCCAGGGCCACTCCAGCACAAGTTGGGGTGAGTGCGGACAAGCAGAGCCCCAGGCGGCACAGGGCACAGCACTCACCCCAGCCCATGCTGGAGCAGCCGACACCAACTGCCTGCACCAGGGCACAGCACAGGCCAGGAGCAAATGTGAGTGGGGACAAGTGGAGCCCAGGCATGGGGGGGGACAGGCAGAGTATGGTGCAGCTCAGCAGCTGCAGGTGGCTGGTGCTGACCGCTCCCGGGGCCATTGCAGCCAGGGCTGAGGTTTGTGCTGCTCTGTTCCCTCTGCTTTGCTGCCTTGTGTAGACCCAGGAGCAGCACCCCTCCTCTCACCCCCTCCCTAGTCCCAGCTTCACTCCCTCTCTCCCTCCCTCAATGCCATGGGAACCTATCCCTATTTGTTACATTGTAAACTAGATTTGCTTTATGCGAATTCGCTTTATGCACTGTTCTCCAGGAATGCATATACCACATAAATCAAGGGAAACCTGTATATATGAACATTTAAATATATAAAATATAACCACACACACATACCTACCTCCTTTTATCTATGATTAGTAAATCTCTGTTCATTCATGGTTGGATGAGGATGGTTATTATGCAAAAATTGTAACACCCAAAGACTCAGATCAAGAACACTGTGCAAGAAGACTGTTTTGCCCAATGCCTAACCTCAAGGTTCCCATCTTTGAATACTAACCTAACTCCTTTTGAGGATAAGTGCAATGTTCTAAGAAATGACAGCCTGCCTCCTGAGCAATGCCTGCTGCCAGAAAAATATTACCCCAGTGCTCTTCTCATTATACAGGCTACCTATAACAAATCAGGTTAATTTCCAGACAGTAGACATCCTTTTCTAATGCAGTTAGCATTAGGGGCTATAGGCTCTACAGGTGGGATAGAGAAGGAAGGAAGGGAAGGGGTGTGGCACTCTATGTCAAAGAGCAATACACATCCTCTGCCAGCAAAATGGGGTCGGAGGAGGGGCAAGCTGAAGTTCTCTGGGTCAAGATACAAGGGGGTCATGGGGAGAGGGATTTAACAGTGGGGGTCTACTACAGGCCCCCAACCAAGGGGAGGAGCTGGACTGGGAATTTTCAGGCCAGTTTGCAGAGGCACTTAAGGCAAGGGATGTAGTTGTCATGGGTGATCTAAATTACCCAGACATCTGCTGGGAGGAGCAGTCAGCCAGGTTGGACCGTTCCAGGAGGTTCCTGGCTGAGATACAGGACCTCCACTTAACCCAGGAGGTGCACAGTCCCACCAAAGGAAATGCCCTGTTGGACCTGGTCCTGGCCACAGGCGATCTGGTAAGGGGGCTCCAGGTCCTTGACCACCTGGGTGACAGCGATCATCTAGCACAGGGTACAAAGGTCTGCAGCAAGGCAGTAGCCCTAGACTTCAAGAGGGCCAACTTCAACGAGTTGAGGAGATTGTTGGGGAGGCACTGGGGTTCTCAAGGGCAGAGGAACTCAGTGCCCAAGATGAGTGGTCATTCCTTAAGGAGATGATACTCAGAGCCCAAGGGGTGACAATCCCAACAAGAAGCAAGGGGGGCAAGAGTGCCTGAAAGCCCTCCTGGCTCACCAAGGACGTCCAAGAATGCCTGGTTGCCAAAAAGGCGGCATACACCCGGTGGAAGGGGTGGGACTGGCGGCTATCTCCAAAGAAGGGGTGGGACTGTCGGTTATCTCCAAAGTGGAGTATACCTCCACTACTCGGGCCTGTAGGGGGGCTGTTAGGAAGGCTACGGTGGACATAGAGCTAGGACTAGCGTCCAAGATCAAAGATAATAAAAAGTCCTTTTTCAAATATATAGGGAGGATGTAGAAGGCATCGGGAAACGTGGGGCCCCTGCAAGATAGGCTGGGCAATCTGGTGGTTGCGCCAGAGAAGAAGAAAGACCTCTTTAACAAATTCTTCACCTCTGTTTTCTTGTGCAGGGACCGGGACTCCCCCACCGTGATTCAAGGCGGACTTGAGGGGAACGCCTCCAGACCTAAGGTTGAGGAGGACTGGGTTAGAGTGCTTCTGGAGCGGCTGGATGTGTTCAAATCAGCAGGTCCAGATGCTCTCCAGCCCAGGGTGCAGGGTGTTGAGGGAGCTAGCAGGCGTTATTGCAGGGCCCTTGGCACGGCTTTACGAGCACTCGTGGTGCTCGGACCAGGTGCCAGATGATTGGAAGATAGCCAATGTGGTCCCCACCTTTAAAAAACTATAGGCCCATCAGTCTTACCTCAATCCTGGGGAAACTCTTTGAGAAGATCATCAAGGAGCACATCTGTGATGGGCTGACATCGGGGATGATGCTCAAGGGCAACCAGCATGGTTTCATTAGGGGCAGGTCATGTCAGACCAACCTGACTGCCTTTACAATCACAAAAGCATTGGATGCAGGTGTCGCCGTGGATGTAGTCTTTCTGGACTTCAGCGAGGCCTTTGACACTGTCGACCACCCCATCCTCATTAAAAAACTAGGCAACTGTGGTATTGATGCCTACACAGTCAGATGGGTTGCAAATTGGCTGAAGGGTCATACTCAGAGGGTGGTGGACAGGTCATATTCGACCCGGGGGGAAGTGGGCAGCAGAGTCCCCCAGGACTCGGTCCTTGGGCCCGCACTGTCCAATTTCTTTATCAGCAATTTGGACAATGGGGTGAAAAGCAAACTGTTTAAATTTGCTGATGATACCAAAATTTGGGGTGATGTGGGCACACTAATAGGGAGGGAAAAACTGCAGCAACCCCTGGATAGGTTGCAGGGGTGGGCTAACAAAAACAGGATGCGTTTCAACATGGACAAGTGCAGGGTGCTGCACTTGGGCAGTAGTAACCAGCAGCAAGCTTATAAGGTGTGAAACTCCCTTCTTGAGAGCACAGAGGCAGAAAGGGATCTTGGAGTTGTTATTGACTCCAAGATGAACATGGGCCGACAATGCAAGGTCACGGTCAGCAGGGCTAACCGAACCTTATCGTGCATCCACAGGTGCATCTCAAGCAGGGCCAAGGAGGCGATCCTCCCCCTCTGCGCGACACTGGTCAGGCCACAGCTGGAGTACTGTGTCCAGTTCTGGGCACCCCACTTCAAGAGGGATGTGGGCAACATTGAGAGGTTCCAGAGGAGGGCCACTCGCATGATCCGGAGGCAGCAGGGCAGACCCTACAATCAGTCCTGAGAGGCTACAGGACCTGAACCTGTTCAGCCTTCACAAGAGAAGGCTGAGGTGGGACCTGGTGACCATCTATAAACTCACTAAGGGGGACCAGAAGGGTTTGGGGGAAGACCTTGTTTCCCCTAGCGCCCCCAGAGATAACAAGGAATAATGGCCACAGGTTGTTGGAGAGTAGGTTTAGATTAGACATCCATAGGAACTACTTCACAGTTAGGGTGGCTAGGATCTGGAACCAACTTCCAAGGGAAGTGGTGCTGGCTCCTACCCTGGGAGTCTTTAAGAAGAAGCTTGATGCCTACCTGGCTGGGGTCATTCGAGCCCAGTTTTCCTCCTGCCCAGGCAGGGGGTCGGACTTGAAGATATACAAGGTCCCTTCTGACCCTACTTCTATGATTCTAGGATTCTAAGGGTCCTCCATAGCACTGAACCAAGTTACCCAGAAGAGCACCTCCTACCACAGGTGCATGTTTCCCTTGACAGCTACCTTCCACAGAAACAAGAATCAATGCTAAAATGTCAAACCCACAAAGGACAGAGCTTTCTGGGCAACTGGCCCAAAGTTTTTGTACTCACCTGCTGAGGGATGTGGCTACAGGTCTTATCAACTTCAACACAAAAATCAAGAATAATTTCTTTATCCTTCTCATACGATGATACTTCAGACAAAGCTGTCAAAAAGGAAGAGGTAACGGTTCTCTCTCATATGCATGCAAATTCCAGTTACTCCCTAGGTAAAAGAGAGAAATATTATCCACTTTTTAAATCCTTTCTTAGGAGATATTGAGACTGTTGGCACTTATTATTTATACAGCTCATTCTTGCCTTTTAATCGAGAAAAAAATATTTTAGATGGTTTCAGAACCTCAGTTTTCTAACAAGTAGAATTTGCACGTTGCTATTATAATGGTGGAAGTATTGAGCCACATTAACAATGGGCCTTTACATTGGGCTCCACTTTCCTGCTAGTCCTTTGGTAGAAATCAATGTGATGTATATAAAATTACACAAGTTAAATTGCACCTTCCATTTTGTGAAGAAAATGGCCAGTAGCAAATACTTTCCTCATTGATTTCATCTTGTCTTCATTTTTTCATTTGTTAGAAAACAAGGGCAGCTGTATGTTTCAGACCCTGAGAACATTATGCTGCTACAAAGATATAAGAATCATATATAAGCAGCTTGAATCCCTAGACATTCTGAGTCTTCCTTCTGCTCAAGGAAAGGCAAAGAACTAGTCAAATAAAAAAATGGAGTTCATAATTGGGTGTCTTAAATATGCGGTGACACAAGAGCATCACTTTGGAAATTCCTCTATTTTTTTTACAGTCTTATCTGAACCTTGACATTTTTCCCTTATACTTTATTGTAGGTTTAGCATATGGGAATGACAGCAGGAGAAGTGCCTTAACGTGTACTACTTAAATTAATTTAACTTAAATTAAATTAATTTTATTAAAAAACAATCCCCCCCTCCGCCCCTTTAAAAGTAGTTAAATTTGGGTTTGCTTTGTTTTGGTTTGTTTGTTTGTTTGTTTGTCTGGGGGGTAGGTATTTTAAACTGAATCCAGCAAGGTGTTCAGGGAGGTTGGAGCTAATCACATGCTTAAAGATGTGTTTATACATTTTGCTGGATTGAAGCTTTTAATAGCTCCAAATATTGCTTAAGAAAGATAGCCAGGGAGTATTAATTACTACTGGCTGGTTTGAAAAATCTAGGAGATTTGACAGGTGTCAGAGTAATAAATTCAATAGAAAACAAAACAGCCATAATTAGTGACATTTAAGAGCATATGACTCTGCTAGCAACAGAAATTCAGCTGACAAAGGAAGAGATTTTACAGTACTTTTCTAATGAAACCACATATACCCTCAGGAATTGTCACAATTGCTAAACAGGGAAAAAATATTTTACTAAACAGTGTCCTGTGGCAAATTCTCTACTGCCAATCTGATTCACTCAAGACCCTCGGCACAGGGGTATAGTTTATCCTTCATACTCATTTAGTCTTCAGCCTCACTAATCAAATTAAGGCTACCTTTTAAAGATGCCAATTAGTACAAACTAAAATGGTGGTATCTGTCATCTGGATACTTGTCTGATGGAAATTTGAATTAAAACAAAACATTCACAGAGGCCATGATAAGGAAAAGACCTTGGGCTACTACTTAGTGCTGACCTGGACTGGCTTTGATCCAGCGGACAGTGAAATGTCGACAAGTAATGCAGCCCAACACAAATCTTAACTTACCCATTCCATCTCACGGCTTTTATTGGCAGTGGTACACACAGGATATAACTGGGGAAAAAAACCTCTAATCAATAGTTCTTCAACATACAGCAGCTGAATGAACATTATTGAATTTAACCTATTCTAGGCATATACCAGTTTCAAACAGAGATTAAATGTTTTTCATCAATTTCACTCCCTTTGTGATGTTCAAGATCATTCAAGAGCATATTTGGTTTTGACATTTTTAATTACTACTCTCAATGTATTCACTTTTAACCATATTCCAATTGTCCCTGGTCCAGAATAGAAGGGAGAGAGAAAATTCTGCAAGCAATTCAGGGCAGGGATTGCATCTTCTGTGTAGGAAGAGCACACGTAACAAAGGGTGTGATGCTAGAATGCCAACAATACATTTTTATTGAACCAACTGTACAGTTGGGAGAGCTGTTAGACAAGCTATTAGCATGAGGTGACCTGAGGAAGGGCATCTGATGCTGAGAGCTTGTCTAACAGCTCACCCAACTATACAGTGGGCCCAATAAAAGATATCAGGAAAAAAAACAAAAACAAAAACAAAAAAAAAAAAAAAACAACCTTGCCTCTCAACATTTCCTGGACAATCACACCTACAACACTCCATCCTTAATAATATATCGAAATTTATCTCTATGAAATAGTAAGTTGAGCATATTTATTCTATACCAAGAAAAATCTTCTTGGTACTCTAAATACCTTTTTCAATTTAATGGTAATTAAACTGAAAAAATGTTTTGGTTTTAAAAACTGGGGCATTTTTTTTTTAAACAAGATGTATTTCACATATTTTCCTTTCCAGTGTCATCTGTCATTATTCAAATTCTTATCTAATGAGTGGCTTTTATCAGTGTTACGTCTTACAGATACTCAATACTCTGACTAAAGCATTTTAGAATCCCTTCAATTACATCTATAGAGTGAAACACTTTTTAAATATCAAAAATAATTTCCAATTGAAATATTCATTTTTAATGAAAATTTTCAGGGGGGGGGTTGTTTTGTTTTTTTTTAACTAAACTAAAATCTTCAGTTTATCAGTTGAAATTTTTCAGGAAAACATTTTTTTTTTTTTTTTAAGTCAGCTTCTAGTGATTATTTTAAATTTTCCCCACTCTTTAGCACACTCCACCATCCCGCCAGCCCAAGAGCTGCTCTATCCCAGCTCCAATTGCTGCAGTTTCAGTAGCACATAAAGACACTGCAACTAGGAGCAGCTGACTCTAACGTGAACTGCATCAGAGTTTATCCCTGCTAATTAATTGAATGTGTAGTTGTGTACACTGTGGGTGGAGGGGGCTTAAAAAAATTTCCATGGATTCAAAATCTCATTCTTCCTCAAATTATCATACATGAAGTGGCCATGACAGATATCACTGGATTGAGAAGAGAACATACTACAGAAACAGAGATGTACTCACACAAGTGAACTGAAAAAGATTCTAAAGGGAGGGCTATCTAACACATGGGAAAATGGAAGGAAGCAATACTGGGGAGGGGGAGGAGGAAGAAGCTGGCAGCTGGAATAGAAACTGACCGACTTTTAACTTTTTGACTTTTCAGACTTTTATTAAAAAGCATTAAAAACAGAAAGGTAAGTCATTCATTAAATCACACTACCAATGCAACCAGAGATCCTCCCTTTCCCACTCCCCACACCCCTCAGACATTTACAACCATTTTCCACCATAGAGTGATTCCTTGATGGTCGAGCATGACACAAAATGTCTATGTCCATCATGAAAATGAGTATGTCTACTCGGGGTGTGCGAAGCGGGCAGTATTCAATTTAGATTCGGCCCGATTCCTGAGACAGTGATTCAATTTGCTGATTTGGATCACTGTCTTGATTCGATGTGGCCATATCTGAATCTCAAGATTTGATTCTGATTTGGAGAATCAGCGATTTGGCCATAGACACAGCTTTATATGTTTTTTTTATGTACCTCAAGGTACCAGGCATGGCTCATGAATGCTGTGATGGTGGGGTGGATGGAGTGTGCCACGGGAGTGGGGGAGGAGGGGGAGGTTCCGCCACGCGCTTGGTGGTGGACCTGCAAGATTTCCAGGTCCACTGCCAAGAACACAAGGGAGCCCCCCCGTCTCGTGCCTCCCCAGCTCAGCAATCAGCCACAGGGGGGACCCCGGGTGCCCCCCCAGACCCAAGAGGCACCAGTTGCCAAGCCGGGGGCAGGGGGGGTCCCCTGCATGCTCTCAGGGGGACCCTAGAAGTAGACCAGAAGTACTTCTGATCCACTTACAGGTCTGCCGCCGAGCACATGGGAGACCCTCCCCCTGCGGGATGCTCCATCCACCCCACCATCTCAGCATTCACAAGCTGCACCTGGTACCTCGAAGTATGTAAAAAAACATATAAAAGTTATGTCTATGGCCAAATCATAGAATCCAAATAGATTCAGAGGATTCCGATTCAATTAGGAGAGATTAATGGGTCTCCCGATTCGATTCAGATTCGGAGATATGGCCGGCGAATCAGGCCAAATGTCCTCCAAATCAAATCAGCGACCAAAGCTTCTCACTGCCCTAATGGCTACTTGGCAGTGAAGGAGTGAGTTTAGGACAGCTAGGAAAACACATGCATTAGGCTGTATCTAGTTACTACAAGTAACAAGAGTCATGAAAATAGGGCAGCATGAGTTAGCAACTTAAGCGTGCTCCCAGGAGGATTTGTACAGCCCACAGCCCACTGCCATTATTACCTAGACAAAGCAGATTGCATGGTTATGCCTGTCTATGTTGTAGTCACACTTCAAACAGCAGGACAGATAAACCCAATGAGACCACCACACTGAATCTTTGTGTGGTCTCTTGGGAATGGTCTGTTGCAGAAGCAGATCTACCATTTCAGCAAAATATTGCACTGTATATGCCCTTTTTTTGCACAGACCACTCCACTTACTTCTATGGGAAAGAGAATATGTACTTGAATTGAATCCAGTCCTTTTTATGGTCTAACCTCAGAAACATATGAGGGATTTGGTACATGCACTCTCTCAACCTTCCTCAGAATAATTCTAACTTTTGTTTGGCATAGTATATATGGACTATATCAGAATTAAAGTGTCTCTTCTTAGGTCTACCTAAAAGCTTACCTAACAAGTTTTGCCACTTTTCAAAGCAAAGAATTGACATCTCTTCTCCTTAAGAAGAAACAATCAAGTCCAAATAGTTTTATCACTGAAGTTTATTCCAATATTGTATAATTCCACACCCCACTGTCCTTTATAAGAAACAAGGACCCTAGTACAAATAAAAATGTATAGCTCTATGGCCTAAGACTCACAGAAGAATGAACTCTCTGCCAACATCTACTGATAAACAAAGACACATGACAAGAATAAAGAGCAGACCTTATTTTCTATGCCTGTCTGCCCTCACATTGAGGGCTTTTTCATTAAAATCCATTTGAGTATAGAGGTAAATCAAAGTAAAGACACAAGGA